GTTTGTTATTTCAGTTACACTGTTACAGTTGTCATTTAACTTTGCTTAGTTGTAATTATTCTGTTAATTTGCTAGCTGGAATATATATATATATATATATGTATGTATAATGTAATGAGAAAGATTGAATGAGAAATCAATTTTTCCTCTCTTTCTGTTCCTCTCTGTTTTCTGTTTTCGTAATATATATGGTCAAATCTAGTTTTTTTTAATTATTATTATTTTGGAAATCTCGTTGTGAAAGAATAATGGGTTTGTACATCACATTAACCCATTTTTATTGGGTGATACTTATAAATAAAATCACTTTTTAACGAATTCCAAACGTATTGATCCGCCGCTTACAAAAGAAGCTCAAGATTAAAGGGGAAGAAAAAAAACAGAACATGTCTAGTGCTGTTATATTCAGCACTCATCACAGAGGAACAAGAAAACGACTTCTTTATTTTTCCATCTTGAATTAATATAAGAAAACGACTTGGTATGTATCTATATATATATTGGCTTTTGTTTTGGTCGATCCCTTCAGCATTTTCTCTCCGTTAATTTCCCATCAATCAAACAAGCACAAGTTTTCTCAAAAATGGAATTTTGATCACTACAGCTAGGAAGTTATATATGATTGATCACCAGTTTGAGACCTGAGGCCCTCAAATATCATCCTTAAAATCCTGAGCAGTACGGACCACATAATTTCCAAAATAACAAAAAAAAGAAAAAAGAAAAAAGGGATTGGAAATTGATAGATGCGTGTCTATCATAATTGGTCGTACTTCCAGCTCACAATAATCGACCCATTTTTGTAAGGAAGGTTGCGGACAACAATTATTGTTAACTAGGCTGAGGTAATATCTATAATTTTCCTCTTTTTTTGTTTTTGTTTTTTTGGCATTATGGTTGGTACCACATTGAACATATATATATTTCATATATAATATAGGCGTGTCACTTTTTATTTTTTATTTTTTACACGGTCGTTTTTATCCTTAGCCGTTATGAATAGCGTTTTGACCGTTGAAAACTACCCGTTAGAACAGTAATACGATGATTTTTGCATTATTAACTGTTGAGAATAATGTTCTGATCAATAATAAGGATCGGAACAATATTCAAGCAATTCCGTCTTGATCAGTCTTTTGAGAAAAATTGTGATTGGAAATTTAAAAGTGCGTTTGAAACTCGTTTCAAAACGATTTTATTTTTTTATATGAAAATGGAAATGAAAACGTTTTCAATCTCAGACAGAAATCATTTTTGAAATTGTGTTTGGTAGTTTTATCAAGAGATTGTTTTCAATATAAAAAAACTCATTAATGTCTCTCTCTGTTTGAGAAAAGAGAAAACGAAAATAAAAAATGAAAAACGACTATTTTTTATTTCTTTCTTATTTTACAATGAATCAAAAAATCATTTTTATTTTTATTTTTTTTAATTTTCCTTTTTTTTTTTTGGCATTGTGGTTGGTACCACAGTGAACATATATATATTCCATATATAATATAGGTGTGTCTGTGACACTCCTTTTTTTTTATATTTTTTACACGGTCTTTTTTAACATTGCTCGTTAATAAAATTACTCCTGAAGACACTAGTATTTTAAAAGAATACTCATTATACATCCCCATTAAAAAAATATGTTGCCTTCTAAAAAAACATATATAATGAAAAAAAATTATAAAAAAATACGATTTCACAATATATCTGTATATATATTTATATAATCTTAATAGATGCAGGAGAAAACAAATGTTACATATATTTGCTTCATCATGAGAAAACGTTTTATTTCACTTTGTTGTGAGGAAGCTTTGGACATCGAAAGAAAATTACGTGAAATATTCAATGAGTGTTCTTACTCATTAAGTTAAATGTTTAAATTTGTTGTAAGAAATTTCTCAAAAAAAAATTATTGTAATAAACACCGGATTTTTCAGAAGAATAGGAAACGTAGGAGAAAACAAACCCCATAAAGAAAAAAAAAAAAAAAAAAGAGATTGTTTTGAAAAAAATAAGATTGCCTATTAGTTAGTGAGTGAAAAAAAAGATAAAAATAACAATTTAGTTGTGCGGATATTTTAAGAATAATAAGAGGGGTGTAACAAGTATAATAATTAAACTCTGAACTTGAATTGAATGTCGTTTAAAAATGCGTGTGTGAAAAGTAGAATGTGGATGATTTAGTTGTGAGGACTTTTTTAAAATCTTAATAGAGGTGTAACAAGTAGAATGAATGACAATTTAAGAATGTGTGTGAGAAAACAACGATACCCATCAAAAAATAAATGTTAGAATAATTCATTAAAACTATACCATTTCGTATTTATATAGTCGTTGAACTTTCACATCTTTTAAAAAAATAATAATAATTATCAGCTATTATAAAAGAGCCTCACTTTCACCCTTTCAAACAAAAAAAAAAGAATAAAATAAAATAAAATACCTCACTTTCAACATTATTTTGACTTTGTAAGTTGTAACTTATATTGTGTTAGGCACGTTTTATATTGAAGTATTTTAAACTTTGACCACATAATTAATATAAAAAAATTTTAGAAATATGAATTTGTCAGATTTACCTATGCCTATTTTATCGTTGCTGCTAATGATACTTCACGCTATGCTAATTTTATGGTAGGTTATGAAAAAAATATATTTTGTTGTTACAGTTCTGTTTTGAACTTGTTAGCATACATATGCCACGTATAAGTTTTGATATTTTTTTTTGAAAGAATTTTGATTAAATTTAACGATTATAAACGTGCGTTGCTAATCAAAAAAATAGAAATGGATCCTTATCTAATCTCATTTATCCCTCAAATAAACACATCATCATTTTAAAAGTCGCTTTAACTTAAAATTAATAATATTATCATTCTTTTTGCTAAAAGTGAACTTCATAGAAACCAAAGACAAGTAGCAAACATATAACACCACAAACAAAGAATGCGAAGAGCTTCAAATAGCTTAAAATTATTTTTTTCTTAAACAACAATTTCTTCATATATTTGTAAAAAAAAAATAATTTCTTTAAATATTTCATCAAATCATTTTCTTTATACACATTCATCAATTTACTTAAAAAAAAAAAAACCCTCATCCTTACAATCATCATCAATATCAATGTAAACAAACAACCTAATATTTTTAGTTCGAATCATAGTTTAAATTTTTATTGTAATATTTTCTTTTACAAAAATTTAAATTTGATTTTTTTTATTATAACATTATCTCTTGCATGAATTAATTTTTTAACTCAAATTTTTAATTCGAGCGAGCGAAACAGCAGAAGAAAGGGGAACCAAAAAAGGAAAGAGATGCCAAGTACAAAAAACCTCCTTTTGTTCTCTTTTGCAAGGTTCATCTTTGTTAGCTCATAAAAATTCTACAAAGAGGATATGGTTATAGAACCTGGAGAATTATCAATCGCTATTGAATTTTTCACGTAAAAGAAAAAAGATATAATAAAAACATTACATTAAAAAAAATAAAAAAATAAGGGTCAGACACACCCCAATCAGTTTATGTGCCCAGTCATCACCAACAATAATTATCAATAAAAAATTCTTAAAATTAAATCGCCAACAGCCATCCCTATAATCATCAACATTTTTTAATGCTTTTATATCTTAATCTTAGCAATTAGCATTTAATTATTTGTTCTTCATTAATGGAGTGTATCCTTCTGCCCATTTAGCAACGAGGAAGAGCACAGTAAATAATACTCTAATAGCGTTGAATTTTTCAATCGTCGTACTTTTATGATTTTTTATTCGTTTGATCAGATTTTTCTCTGTTTTTTTTTTAATAAAGGTCTATATTTTGTTCAATACATTTTAGATTTTGAGAGTTTTTTTAGCAGTCTCAATTTTTAATCATTAGATCTAATTAAAATCACACGAATTAAAAAAATATGCAGAACAGACAGATTTTAATATAAATCTGACGATTAAAAATAAAAAATTATCAATAATTCATTTTTACAGGAACTACCAGAAAATTCTTAACCTACAAAATTATAAATATTTTAAAAATAACAGATATGACAAACAACTATTAAAATAATATTATTTATATCAACTCTAATCCCAACTTTAATATCAAAATTGAGTTGCCATTCTTTTTATTAGTAGTTGCTTAAAGTTTGCACGTTAATTAGAATGACATTTTTTGAGAGTTTTAACTGTAACAGAAAAAGTTAGATATGATAGTTTTTGAAAATTTTTTATTGTAAAAATTTAAAACTCAAAACTCGAAACGGTGAAATGAAAGAGACCAATTATTATCACTCTAAAATGGGATTAAAATGAATTTATTACAGAAATACTAAACTACAAAATAGGAAGAAAAAAAAGGGAACACAACATAATTCTCATATGATTGTTTTTCCGACAAGACATATATTGAAATCATGACACTTTTAGAGGATGTTTGGTTGGATGATTCAAACCATGTGATTTGAACTATTTTCAATTTATGTGTATTTTTTATTAGAGAAAATACTGTAGCGAACCACGAATCATGATTCGAATCAGAAAATAAATCCCTCTACCAAACATCCTATAATCACAAGTGCTTTCTTTCTTTCTTTTTTTTTTTTTTTGAGCTCCGAGGTAATAAACATTAATTACGAAATAAATTATAATCGCAATGTATGTATGTATGAATCCTATTTTCAGTTTTCCCATATAAAATTGCAATTTAATGCATTTTTTTCTTCATTAACTGCCATTACCATAATCATAATGGCCTCTATACAGTTCTTATAATCATAAATGAATAGCCAAGAATTTTATTATTTCCATATGTAATCTTACCTTTGAAAATAACTCTTTTTTAAAAAAAAAAAAAAAAATCAAGTGTCACGAATTTTATTTTATTTATTTTTAATTTTCTAATTTATTGAACCCCACTTCTGGAGCCGCCCCGCTACTCTAACGTGGCCTGCAGAAAATAATAATACTTCCGGGTATAACAATCTCTCTCTCTCTCTTACGTCTCTCTCGTGTAATTTGCGGAGGATGATTCGTCTGGCTTTAACACCTTCGAAAAACAAAAAAAAAAACCTCAAAAGCTCTGTTTTTTGGTTAATTATGTATATGAATGAATAAACTGCCAAAAGCAGCCTGGTAAAACCTGCAAAGAAAGAGTACTTCATTTCTGGTTCGCCTTTTGTTATCTCTGGAAAACCGACTTACCCTGTTTTTCCTCTGCCATTTTCCTTCATCTTTTCCGTTTCGGCCATCTGGGTCGCCTTTGATTTTTGATGAGTTTAATTAAGATTGAATTTTGATCCCTTTTGGCTCGTACCCTTCTGACCCCACTTGAGGAATTTCATCGATAAGTTAATAAATACTAGTTTTTTAAATTTTTTTGTCTGTTTTCACATAATTCATTGAACGGATGAGGTGTTCTTGAGCTGTTATTATCCTTAAGTGGGTCTCTCCCTCTCTTTTTGGCGTGTTTTTTCTTTTCCTGCTCAGTTTTGGTATATGGGTTTGTTTGTTGGAACATAATTGAGGTTCAGGTATTATCAGGCTCTGTTTTTGGTTTTTTGTTATTCTTCTCTGAAACTTTTCAGTTGATGAAAAAACTGTTTATTGGAGATTTAGCGTCATGTGATAATATTGAGACTTTTTTTTTTTTTTTTGCGTTTTCTTTATTGAATTTGAGTGAGTTTTGATTTGTGGGATCAATTGAGCATGGATTTTAAGTGAAGTGCAATATTTGAAGATCTGGATTAGACACTGTATTTGTAATTTATTGAGGGTATTAGTAGGGGAAAGATTTTGTTTTTTGTTTTTGGTTTTTGGGGAAGGTTTTGAATCAATTGAATTAAGTTTTAAGTAGATGGATTCAAGAGTGGAAGATGATCAAGAAACTGAGAATAAAGGGAGTATGTGGGTTTTGGATCAGAAGCTTGATCAGCCAATGGATGAGGAGGCTGGGAGGCTCAGAAATATGTACAGAGAAAAGGTTATATTTCAACTTTCTCACTCTTTCTTTCTATCTCTGAAACACACACAATTAACAATCTTCAGATTTAATTTTATGAAATTTAAAGAAGGTTAATCTCTTTATGAATTACACTGTGCTTTACTCAAGGTTATTGTAGCTTGGGATATAAGAGATAGTTGTGTATTAAGTGTGATTGTTGGTGGCTTTATTATGCTGGATTTACTTATGAGTGTTGTAGTAGTATGCTGTGTGATGAATGAAGGAATTGTTATTTTGTAGTTGGTAGTCTTGTCTTCTTTGCTAATACGGTTGTGATTCGTTCAGAAATTTTCTGTGTTATTGCTTCTGCGGTTTGCGTTCCAAAGTCTTGGAGTGGTTTTTGGAGATTTGGGCACTTCTCCTTTGTATGTCTTTAACAATACGTTTCCTGGCAAAGTAGAAGATCCAGAGGATGTGATTGGTGCTCTCTCATTGATTATATACTCTCTTACTCTCATACCGCTGCTTAAGTATGTCGTTGTTGTCTGTAAGGCGAATGACAATGGTCAAGGTAAACTGAGCTCTCCATGTTGATTTGCTTTGCAGAATTTTCTGAATCTTCATTGAATTGTATGTTGAATAGAAGGAATTTGTTGCCTCTTTTTTTAACCACTAGCTGGGATTGCTGTCTACTTCTGTCTACTTGGTATAAGCAAGAAATATGCTCCTCTGCCTTTTCATCTATTTTGTAGTGTGATATCATTGACCTATGAAAGGTATAGAGCATCATTATCAATTATTATTTTCAATTTCTTAGCTGGATGGATCGTACATTTAGGATGTATGAGGTTTTGATTGATCTGTACCTGCAATAAGTTATGCTACTTCTTACTAGTTCCTTCGGCACCTTGCAGGATCGATTTTACCTTTTTCCCTTTCACTTTTTTTTTTTTGGGGGGGGGGGGTTGGGGGCGATCTGTTCAATAGCACACAAACATGCACATGTATGACTTGGAATAGGAAATGAAAAGTATAAATTTATGGGTACTTCTGAAAAAATAGATCTTTCTTGACATAGTATCATAGATCCTATTTAATCAGTTGTCTTAACTGAATGTATTTGCAGTTTTATCCTTTTTGTTGTCTTCAGGAATGCAAAACTTATGGTTAATGCTGTGCAGGTGGAACATTTGCTCTCTATTCCTTGCTATGTCGTCATGCAAAAGTTAAAATTATTCCCAATCAACACAGGACCGATGAAGAGCTAACTACATATAGTCGTTCTACTTTTCGTGAACAGTCTTATGCTGCAAAAACCAAGAGATGGTTGGAAGGACATACGTCCAGGAAAACTGCACTTCTTCTTCTTGTCCTTTTGGGCACTTGCATGGTGGTTGGGGATGGAATTTTGACTCCAGCTATATCTGGTATTTATTCTTAATCCTGAAGTTTTAGATATTCATCTGTTGAAATGATCTTTCCTGTAGAGCAATATATTCTTCTGAAAATTTGTTATTTAAGGTAGTCTACTTCACTCAAGTTAGCATGCTTATAGGCATGTCTGCACAAACAAACGATTTGATAGCATCCTAGAAGCACTTATGATAATTGGAACAAAATTGTGGAATCAAATTTTCTTTAATTAGCAGATATGATCACATATTTTTAAATAACAAGAACAAAGCAAGATCATGATAGGTCTTTATAGTTAACATACGGTGAAGGTGAAGAGTGATGCTTGAAATTCAACTCAATTTCCATGAAAAATAACTTACAACCAAGCAATCAAGACCAGGGCACACCACGCATGCAATTTAGATGATATAAAGTCGAGTAATATTCAACGAAAAAGAGTTTGTGGATCACAGATAGTCGAGTAATATTTGACGAAAAGGAGTTGTTGGGATCACAGGCCATTGATTCTACCTAGTTGAGAAAAGAAGTAAACATAGGAGAGGAATCAAGAAAGGCCCAGTAGTGCAATGGAAATTTGTGATTTTTTTCTTCTTCTTTTGGTTGCATCCCTAATTGGGTTTCACCAGAGTCATGTCACCTGCCGGAGAACCAGCAACAAGAGGAGCCTAGACTGTTCAAGTTAGTTTATTGAGGTACCACCCATTTGGACTTACCATGAACATCAATCTTTAAGGATCGGAGACTTTGGTTTTTATGTTTTTACTCTACCTGGACACACATAATAGGGCCTATATAGGTCAAAGAAATTCAATTTTGATGGAAAAGTTACCTGGTTGGCTAGGAGAGATGTAAACTGTTAAGGAGGATACTTGAAATCCTCATATCAGATGCAGTAGCTGGATAAGTTCATTCTTTGCGTTGCATGTCAAAATGTTCTATCTTGCTTCTAGGAACAGATATCTATGATGTTGAAGATAAGCGATAAATGCCGTGATTCAATTTTCATGTGTTTGCAAGTTTCACTGCCCTATGCAAGAACTAAGAGCAGCATTATTTATTCCTTTTTTAAATAGGAACAGTGAACTTCAGAGGAAAAGGATTCCTCTGGAAACAAAAAAGACTATGAATGCTATAGGATTAAGAGAAGCATCATTAGCGAATAGGACGCAACAATTAGTTTCTAAATGAAACCCCTCTTACCAAATACCTGCCTTTTTGCATGGACCACGAGTGGCGTCTTTTTGAGCAGTGTTTGCACCTTGTAAATTTGGTATTTACTTACTGAAGAAAGACTACTTAAGTCTTGATACCGCAGTGTAATTGGAGAATTGCGGGTTCAATCCCGTTTTGTATCAAAAAAAAAAAAAGAACTTCAGTGCTTGCCGTTGAGTAAAAATATTCTATCTCATTCTCTGGAATAGGTCTATCAGTTGTTGAAGATAAGTTATAAAGGCTGCGACCATGGTGCATTCTTGTTTTATTTTTCTTCCATTTCTCTCTCTCTCAATTTGAATTTTTAAGTTCATAAGTTTCACTGTCCTATAAACAAACAGTTAAAGTATAATTTTAGCAATTAGCGGGCAAGGCTTAGTTTTTGAGATTCAACAACCATTCATCAAGTTAAACTCCTCCTACGAAACCTCTATCTTGTAGTGTTTTCCTCATGTTTCATATATGTTATCATTCCATATATGTAAAGGACCCTAGTTTTTTATTTACTTTTTTTTTTTTAATTTTCTGTAACCATAGTTGTTAATACTACTAAACTTGATTGATCTAAAGTTTTAACCAAAAAATTTGGTTTCAAATTTTTTTTTTCTTTTCTTGGGAGCCAGGAAAGGTATTTAAATTGAAATAAAATGACTCAGCCCGTCAAAAGCTTACTTGTTGTATTTCTTAAATTTGTATTACTGCCATTTTCTCCTTTTGTAGTGAATGGTTAACTGTGCTATTCTTGTGCAGTTTTGTCTGCTGTTGGTGGGATCAAAGTAAAAGGCCCCAGTATGAACCCTGGTATTGCCATACTCCTGTAACTAATCAATTTCTTATGCTTGGTATTCTGCTTCTGTAACTCTATTATCTTCTTCTGTAACTCTATTATCTTCTTCATATAAATATATATACATCATATATATATATATATATTATGTTTTTTTGATATGTTCTTAGTGGTTGCCTTTGGCTATTGTGGAACAGATATCGTTATACTTGTTGCGGCCATTATATTAGTAGGCCTGTTTAGCATGCAACACTATGGTACAGATAGAGTTGGTTGGCTCTTTGCTCCAATCGTGCTGCTGTGGTTTCTCTTGATTGGAGGTATTGGCATGTATAACATCTGGAAATATGACAGCAGCGTTCTCAAGGCTTTCTCACCCGTATATATATATCGGTATTTTAAAAAGAATGGGAAAAATAAATGGACCTCCCTTGGAGGTATAATGCTTAGCATAACAGGTAAAGTTTCTGGATCCCGTTTTTGATATTTTATTTTTTCTGTTACTTGCATTCTGTGGTAAAAGCATAAAAAAAACGTTCTAATTTTTATTCTGATGACATGCTGTGAATTATTACAGGGACAGAGGCACTTTTTGCTGACCTAGCCCATTTTCCGGTTTTAGCTGTTCAGATTGCTTTCATTGCAGTCGTGTTCCCGTGCCTCCTCCTAGCCTATTCTGGACAAGCTGCGTACCTTATGCAAAATCATGAACATGTAGTTGATGCATTTTACTATTCTATTCCAGGTTTGTGGTAATCTTTGTTTCAACTTGTAGCGTGATTGTTATCATGTTATTTGATAAATTCCACCAAATCGTCTTATAACTTTATTGAAGATTTTTGGGTAGAAAAGGAAGTTACGAAACACGGTCAATTAAGTGATGATTTTCAACTTCCTTATTTGTAACTAGTATGAAAACTCAAGGTTTTCCTTGTGTTCACCCAAAACTGTCTGAGCTTTAATTTACTCATGCCGCCCGATCCTGATTTCATGTGGAAAGTAGAATGAAGCATACTTTTTAAATTTAGACCTCCAAACCAAAAAGATATATATGGTAATGACATGAGGAGATATTTAATCATTCACTTTTTTAAGCCTACCAAGTTTGGGTTCTCTTGTTTCTCTGAACTGTCAATATTACTGGGAGAAATATAGGATATAATGGAAAAATGGAATATCTCGTAGTTAAGTACATCATGTCTGACGGATGTTTATGTTTCTTACACGGCAGGAACTATATATTGGCCTGTGTTGCTTGTTGCAACTGCAGCAGCTATTGTTGCAAGCCAGGCGACAATATCTGCGACTTTTTCAATAATTAAGCAGGCTCTTGCACATGGCTGTTTTCCGAGAGTTAAAGTTGTACATACTTCAAAGAACTTTCTTGGCCAGATATATGTGCCAGATATCAACTGGATCCTTATGATTCTATGTATTGCTGTGACTGCTGGATTCAAAAACCAAAACCAAATAGCAAATGCTTATGGTAAGCTTGTCCTCAGCTATATTTTAAAGAATTTCCAATTCATATATTTGTTCACGTATACGTAGTTCTGCGTGCAAGGTCATGTTATTATTATAAGTCGTGTAAAATATGTGTGTGTAATATTGTGGTTAACTTACACAATGAGAGGCCTTTTGGGAGAGCCCGACACCTAAATTTCTTAACCATTGTCACCAACCTTTCCCTGTTGAAGTACAAGTCCTCTCATGCCACACTTCGCTTGACATTTACAAAGGGCTGAAGCGACTAGACTTACTGTCAGAATGTAGTTTTCTCAAAATATTAGTTTTCAAACTCACTAAAAGCTTAAAAGTAACCTGAGGCAGGAGCAGGACCAAGAAAGAATGAATTGTAGAGAGAAAAATAGAGAGAGCGTAGAAAAATGAGAAAGAGAAGAATTACGCAGAGAGCTGGAAGATGGTTGATGATGACCGACATTGTGTGGCGGGTGGTGCTTGATTTTTGCAGATAAATTGCCGTGCCTTCATGACTTTGGATATTTTTAAGAAATGCTTTGAGGTTCTTGTAGATGATCTTGGTCAGAGTTTTATAATAATGGCATTGTTAATGGGCTCACTGACGCAACATGTATCTGTCTTAAACCTAAGAAGCTAGATTCTTTTAAGATTAGTCTCTTAGACCATTTAGCCTAATTACTGTTGTAGTGTTTTGGATAACTTATAGAAAGTACAATATCGAACACTTCTGAACTCCAAAAGATGCAATATCTGATAGCATTAAAGGCATATTTGAGCTGGGGAAACAGAAAATAATGGTATATGCACAGGCATGTCTTCAAAATACTTGTATAGTTTGGATGATTTGGATGATTTGGATGAAAAGGAATGCCAGGATTTTTGAAGAAAAGGTAATGGAAGTGAAGGACTAGTTGGAGAGGATTAACTTTTCAGCTTTTTTGTGGGTTTTGACGGTTAAAGCTTTTAAGGATTTTCCTTTGTCTTTGATTGTTCTTTACTGGAAAGATGTTATGGGGTGTTGGGAGTCCTGGTGTTGTCGTTAGTTTTAGTCTTTGTATTTTCGTTTCTTATAAAAAAAAAAAATGCTATGAGTGCTGTTGAAGAGATTGTTTGTGTAATGCGGAGTTATGGAGCGTCTTTAAGAATTTAGGATAATAGATATCATCTTTGGATCCTCTTGAAAAAAACCTAATCCATTACTTTCTCACTACGACCAAAACAAAATTCAGCTAGAAACAGTTAAAGATTACATGATTTCTCTGTTGATTAGGGATTGAGGGGCTTTCTTTCAGTTTTTGTATTGTGTTTTAATTGCAAATGCTGATGCTGATGCAATCTCAATAAGGTTTTTTTTTTTTCTTTTTTAAATAAGTTGTCTTCCAATTTGAGCACTTCTCATCTTACATCATGCCTGAACTGATTGCATGATATTTTTATGTCACAACAGGGACGGCTGTCGTGGTAGTCATGCTTGTCACCACATTTCTTATGACACTAATCATGATTTTGGTCTGGCGGTGCCATTGGCTAATAGTCGTGATCTTCACTGGTTTATCACTGCTTGTGGAGGGCACTTACTTTTCTGCGGTACTTTTCAAGGTCGACCAAGGTGGGTGGGTTCCGCTTGTGATCGCTGCAGCCTTTCTTCTCATTATGTATGTTTGGCATTATGGCACGGTAAAACGTTATGAGTTTGAAATGCATAGTAAGGTCTCAATGGCATGGATTCTTGGACTTGGCCCGAGTTTAGGGCTAGTTCGGGTCCCTGGTATAGGACTTGTGTATACTGAACTTGCTAGTGGGGTTCCTCACATATTCTCCCACTTCATCACCAACCTACCAGCCATCCACTCTGTTGTTGTCTTCGTCTGTGTGAAGTACCTTCCTGTTTACACTGTCCCAGAGGAAGAGAGATTCCTCGTTAAGAGAATCGGACCTAAGAACTTCCACATGTTCCGTTGTGTTGCAAGATATGGCTACAGAGACCTCCACAAGAAAGATGACGATTTTGAGAAGAAGCTTTTCGATAGCCTTTTTATATTCGTAAGGCTCGAGGCCATGATGGAAGGCTGCTCAGACTCGGATGAGTACAGTGTTTATGGCCAGCAAACGGAGCAGTCACGAGAGGGCCTCTTGAACAACGACTGCAACACAACTTCCCCCAACCTTACCATCTCGTCAGTAGATTCAATTGTGCCCAGTAAATCTCCGGTACACATGAACAGCAGTACAGTCGGGTCGTCAGGGCAGGTGAGCTACCAAACTGAGGTCGATGAGCTAGAATTTTTGAATAGTTGTAGAGATGCCGGAGTGGTGCACATATTGGGAAATACAGTGGTGAGAGCAAGGAGGGATTCAAGGTTCTATAAGAAGATAGCTGTTGATTATATATATGCTTTCCTTAGGAAGATATGCAGAGAGAATAGTGTGATATTCAATGTTCCTCATGAGAGTCTATTGAATGTTGGGCAAATTTTCTTTGTCTAACTTCTTTTTGTATTATCGTCTATATTTCTTATACCTCATTCCTTGTAATCATACTGTAAATGCCAATTTCTTTTTGTGTTGCTAGCATAGAGTTATGGTAGATTATTGGCAGAATGCTGATAAGAATACACGCTTACCTTCAGGACTATGGACATTAGAATTCTTCATGCAGAAACTTTGGATGAAATTGTATAAAGTTTTATCTCTCACGAGCAAGGGCAAATATGCAATAAGGTTATTATTATTATTATTATTTGTTGTTGTTGTTGTTGTTATTAATTGTGTAAAGTTGCAAGTTCACTCTTAGCTGGCAATGACATTATATTATATGGAACAAGCAGAACAGAAGAATGTCACTAAACAAGATGTGTTAATTAACATAATATGTTGCAGATTTTTTCTAATTATTATTATTAAATTCTTCTGCAGATGCTTTTTTTTTTTTTTTTTGAAGAGATTAATTTGTGGATTACATAGTGGAAAATTAACTAATTTCTCCTCCAAAATTATCTCTCCCTTTCTAGTGATGGCACTTTACAAACTCAACTGCGAATATGGAATGGGCTAATCTTTAAAATAAACAAAATTGTTCATTTTTTTCTCTGAAACAATAAATATTTGAAAGCGATAAAAGTCTCTTTTTTGCCTACCTCTATCCCGATGAGCCAACACCAAAGTCTTATTTTTTCGTTGCGTTTACTTACAACTTGTGGGTATGTACTGTGAAAGAGAACTTGGCATGAATCTACATTAACTCTTGGTGTGCGTGTTTAGAGTTAAATCTTAGAGAGAGAGAGAGAGAGAGAGGGAGGAAGAAAGGAAAAGATACTGCTGATGGGGCTTTGTTTGAACTATTAGGGTTTCGTTTATTTTGCAGATTTTAGTTTTTAATTCGAGTTAAGATGTGACATTTTTTGAAAATTTTTAACTGTAACATAAAAAGTTAGATGTGATATTTTTTAAAAAATTTTAATTGTAAAAATTTAAAACTAAAAACTCAAATAAGTGAAATGAACGAGATCTAAATATATATCACATTCCATTAATTTTACATATTTTTTATTTAATGTGGTTTTAACTAAATTTAGCATTTAGAAAATACATAATGAGTCTATCGTAAAAAGCTTAAAAAAAATTAAATAAGAAGAAAATGGATGTGAATGCTAGGAAAAATAAAAGGTGAAATAGTCTTGATGTGCTCTGTGTACTATGAAAGTGCTGGACCGCGAATATGCATGATTCTATTTGATTTTTTTTTTTCTCAAAAAGAAAAAAAAAATCACCTATTGAGAAGATAGGATGATAACATTTGTCAAAACAAAAAAGGAACATCCTGATCAAATTCTCTTTTCCAGATGTACTTCCAAAGCTTAATTTAAAAGCGGCAACTTTGTATTATCTTCTTCTATGAAGTATAATGCCTACTGCTCAGCATAACCCTAGATTAGGATTCAGAATCAAGTAACACTGTGAGGTTTAATTTATGCTCCGTTTATTTCACTGATTCGAGTTTAAAATTTAAATTTTATTACAGTAAAAAGTTTTCAGACAGTTACATTTAATTTTTTTACTACAGTAAAAAACTCACATAAAATCGCATCTCAATTCGAATTAAAAACTCAAATCAACGAACTAAACGAGTCCTTAATAAGTTTAGAAGTCTAATCTGGAACCAATTTGTTTACTCCATTTTGCATTTCGTGGTTCATCTCTTATTATCCTTCTTCAAAAGTGATAGTAGGCAACGTCTTGATAAAGAATGAGGCCCCAAATGGATTGACTTATTGGGAAAAAAAGTCTTGTTTTTGGAAGACATATCTCGTGTATCGTACTGCATGATACTACTCTGAAAAAACTCCAAATCATTCTCTTCAAGTGAAATAGCCCAGTAATTCCCTTTATGATATTGAAAGGTCAAAATTTTTAAAATAAAAAAAAAAAAAAAAAGAAATCTAGTCCCCAAGGGCTCTTCAGAAATTAGATTTTTATGATTCGAGCATCAAACCCATTTAAAGCGTTCATATTATTATATATTTCTTTGAAAAAGACACTTAGCTTACAACTATTATGATATTTCAATTGGTGTCTTTAACTTTATTCTTTATATAATATTGGAATTGAATGAACAAAATAAAATAAAAAAGATACCCATTACGAAATTATTTATTAGGAGGCGTCGACCAAACATAAATTCTATCAAAAAAAATTGACTTTGGAATATAAATCACGAGAATGTATATTTTTCCTCGAGTTTTTCATTGGGATGTAGAGACTTAAATCCTGTTTACGAGATAAAGCTTTTTATCGAAAAGGCCCGTTTAGTTCGTTGATTCGAGTTTTTAATTCGAGTTAAGATGTGACTTTATGTGAGAACTTTTTAGTGTAGCAAAAAAGTAAAATGTGATTGTTTGTGAGAACTTTTTACTATAGAAAACTCGAATTCTAAACTCGAATCAGCGAAATAAACAGGACCTAATCAAACCGAAGAAACCCACCACTTCAACTTGATTATGTTCGCCTTTTTTAGAGTGCAAATTCAAAATATGAAGGGTTTTTTTTTTTTTTTTTTTGTGGGGGGGATGAGAGAGAAGCTTCATTCACTCTTATTATCATTCATAGCAAAGAGTTAAACATAAAAAACTTGTCCAACATTCAGGAGACTCTCATGAGGCACATTTAACATGGAACTGTTCTCCCTGCATATTTTCTTTAGAAATGCATATATATAATCAACAGCTATCTTCTTGCAAAAGTTCGAGTCCCTCCTGGCTCTGATTACTGTGTTCCCCAGAATGTGAACCACTCCTGCATCTCTACAGTCATTCAAGAATTGCAACTCATCAATCTCTATATGGCTGCTTGGCTGTGGCGGAGAACTGACTTGAATGATCGAATCTACGGATGATATTGAAGAATCCACTTTGGACAAGGATGCGTTGGCATTGGTATTAAAATGGTTGTCACTTGCTTGCTCGTCTTGTTGGTCGGGCAAGCTATAGTCATCAGAGTCGGAACACTCCATTAAGGAATCAAGTCGGACAAACGTACTAAGGGTGTCAAAGAGCTTCTCCTCAAAATCATAATCTTTCTTATGAAGGTCTTTATAACCATACCTTGCAACACAACGGAAGATGTGGAATTCATTGGGCCCGATTCGCTTTATAAGGAATCTCTCATCCTCCGGGACTGTGTAAACGGGCAGGTATTTGACACAGACAAAAACGACAACATTGTGGATGGCAGGCAGGTTCGTGATGAAGTGAGAGAAAATTCGAGGCACCCCATTAGCTAGCTCAGTGTACACAAGTCCTACCCCGGGTACACGTACTAGCCCTAAACTGGGTCCGAGTCCAAGAATCCATGCCATTGAAACCTTACTGTGCATTTCAATCTCATAGCGTTTCACCGTACTGTAATGCCAAGTATACATGATGGCAAAGAATACTGCAGAGATCACTAGAGGGACCCACCCACCTTGATTAACCTTGAGGACTACAGCAGAGAAGTATGTGCACTCCACCACCAGTGATAAGACAGTGAAGAGGAAGACAAGAATCCAATGGCAACGCCATACTAGTATCATCACTAAAATCATGAGCAGTGTGGTCACCAACATAACTATCACAACTGCTGTTCCTGTAGTAACATGTAGAGTTTATACCACATAAGTTAGCCCTTATTCTTTTCAAGGGTATTCAAATGTTATCACGACTTCAAGACAACTAAAATGTGTGTGTTGGAATCGGATTTTTCAACAAAATTGTCCCTGATCACTCAGGTCATATATAATCATTGAATACAGTTAAGGGGAGTAGATTCTATTTCATATCAGTCAACGACGTAAAGAAGAAAATAACAAAGAGGTCGCAAAGGACAAAAGCAAATGTGATTTGGACCCAAATAATGAATCTCGAGTCAGCTGTCCTAAATACTGACCCCAAAATTCCACTAAAAAAGTAGATAATTAATCAGTACAAACGTGTAAAAATTAGCAAGGTAAGAAGTCAGTAGAAATGGATGAAATATGACAAACCACACAACTTAATAATAGGACGGAGACGGTATGATGAGAGAAAGAAGCTTTTTTTTCACGAACAAAAAACTTATTTGAGTGACAATACAAAATGTCAACATGAAGCGTATAATGCACAATCACGTCATTAATATAGATGTCGTGTAACGTAAGCAGGTCACTATCAAGAATATACAAGCAAACAAATAAAAGGAGATTGCTACTGTCAAAAGATTTCCATAGAATTAGTTCTTCTAAATGATACGGATTCTACTGAAAATGATTATGTTATGCATATATGCATACCTGAATACAGGACTATATAAACAATCGGCTACACATGGATCTAAATGTGAGCATAAAAACGGGTGAAAATAGATTAAAGAATTTCACAATATTCATAAGAGAATATACGTACCAGAGGCATTTCCAATTTGGTTTTGATTTTTGAAGCCAGCTGTTACTGCAATGCAAAGAATCATTAGGATCCAATTAACATCCGGAATATAAATCTGGTTAAGGAACTTCTTTGATGTATGTACAACTTTGACTCTGGGAAAACAGCCAAGTGCAAGAGCTTGCTTGATCAATGAAAAAGTTGCAGATATGGTAGCCTGACTCGCAACAACGGCGGCTGCAGTTGCAATAATAAAAACTGGCCAATATATGCAATCTGAAAGTAATTAAGAAAGAAGCATCAATCCAAAACTCGTTCTAAAAAACATTTTTATTCTCTTTTAAGTTACTCCACTCTATGAAAGTTGAGGATGTTTTAGTTACCATCATCCTAACCTGAAACATCAAGATCTCCTATATCTGAGATTTTTCTGCCACTTAACATCAACCGAGTCATCTTCCAGATGAAGAATGGAATTTTCTTATTCATTAATAAGCATTGCTCTGTTTCTTTTATATAACACACACACACACACACGTATGAGAGAAACTAAATTTTCCACTTAAGTTTGCTAAAATTAAAAAAACCCCAAGCATAGCCATACTTATTTTAAGTTTTACAGATTGGATTAGACAAACCTGGAATAGAATGATAAAAGGCACCAACTACATTGTCTGAGTGCTTCATGAGGTATGCAGCCTGTCCAGAATAGGCTAAAAGAAGACAAGGAAATACAACTACTGTGAAAGCAATTTGTATGGATAAAACCGGGAAATGGGATAGGTCAGCGAAAAGTGCCTCTGTTCCTGTAATTGTTCACAAGAAATTGTCATAAGTTTTTCTGATTTAACTCAATGAACCAAATTAAGGTTTGGGAAACAGAAATGCATCTATTGCCAGAGCTTTTACCCGTTATGCTAAGCATAATGCCTCCGAGGGATGTCCAACCATCTCTCTTTCCCCTTCTAAAATACCGGTATATATACACAGGAGAAAAAGCTCTCAAAACACCGCTATCATATTTCCAAATGTTGAATATGCCAATTCCACCAATTAAGAGGAACCAAAGGAGCACAATTGGTGCAAAAAGCGAGCCAACTTTATCTATACCATGGTGTTGAATGCTAAACAAAAGTGCTAGTATAAGAACAGCAACAAGTACAACTATGTCTGTGTCACAGAAACAGAGAAACTCATTTAGACAATAAACTACATAGCAACATAGAAAGAGTTGCAGACTACAGAACGCAAACAGAAGACAATATTTAAATTCAGAAGCTCGGGTGATACCGTTACTTATCCTAGACCGGCCAACATTAATCCCACCAACGGCTGACAAAACTGCAAAATTTTGGAATATACATATACTGTAATCAAGCTGTTTAGAAGAAAGTGTCTTTGTAGCCAAACGAGAAAAGAATCTCCCTTGAAGAGTATCAGGGAGATCGTCGATTAACAAAAAGTTAAGGGTTCAGGAAGATTGCGTGATCTCGAATGATATTGATGTATTCTGACTTTTTGAAATTTATGATAATGAAGAAAATCTACCAAGTGGTTATTGTGATGCTTCGGAAATAAGGCATGAATATTGATAAATTACCTGATATGGCTGGAGTAAGAATCCCATCCCCGATTACCATACAAGAGCCAACAAGGACAAGAATAAGCATTGTATTCTTCATGAATGCATGTCTCTCCAACCATCTCTTGGTTCTCGCAGCGAATGATTTTTCAGAAAAAATAGAACGACTATACGTTGTTAGCTCCTCATCAGTCCGGTCTTGGTTAGGAATAGTCCTCAATTTTGCATGTCGACAGAGTAATGAATAAATAGCGAATGTCCCACCTTCAAAAGAGCTATAAGTTGCTAACACAACAAAGCAAAGATTGATATAGAAATATTGTAGCAATTTTTATGCAGCAAACCATGAAAAAGGAAACACCATCAAGTCGCTTGAAGTTTCACAGACATGATCAAACTGAGAATAGTCTTAAACTTCAGCACTTTTGCTTAGGTAGATGTTCTTGATATCCCAAAAATCTTTATCAGATTTCCAGCTTGCACATGCTGTGGCACAATCTTTAAATTGATATTTAATTTAATTACAATCTGAATACTTGAAGATATTTATTGCAGAACTCATCTGATTTTTTGTAGTCTTCTGGGCAATCATCAAAGAACCCTTCATATGTAATTTCTTCTAGTGCCGTTACTTTCACAAATCAACATTTTTCCACCATTTCTTTTCTCTTACTTCATAAATTGACCACAACGTATTCTGACTTTTCACTTAATAGAAAGGGTGATTATAAATTCATACATCCAAGATGGCTTTTAGACATGAAATATTATTTATGACTTATAATAATTGCATGAAAGGAAGGACTCAATGTCCTCTAAATATAGGGAGAAAACTCCTTCCCCAAGAATTTCTGTTTGCTGTCAAGAAAGTTGTCTCATCAGTCAATTTCATAAGCAAAGATGAGACAAATATATACCTAAATCAGCTTCTAAATGAATGGAAACAGAGGGAAAAGTGGAACTAAAAATATAAAAGAAATAGCCAAAAGACCATCCCAATTTCAAAATAACCAATCTATTGTTCATTATACACCAGTGTGATTATTGCAACTTTCTGATCTATGTAATTCCTTTTTTCTTTTTCAAAATGTTAACGAGTGCATATGAAGTAAAAGCACGAGAAAGCAACTTCATAGGTTGAGAACAATTTACCTTGACCATTATCATTTGCTCTACACACAATTAGCACATACTTAAGGAGTGGAATAAGAGTAAGCGAATATATTATCAAGGATAAAGCTCCAATTATATCTTCCGAGTCCTCAATTCCATCAGGAAAAGTGTTGTAGAAAACATACAACGGCGATGTGCCTAAATCACCATAGACCACACCAAGGCTCTGGAATGCGAGTTGCAGAATCATTACTGCTGAAAATTTCTGAACCAAAGAAAACCAATTCAGCAAAGGAAGAAAATTAGGACCACTGAGTGTACCATCATGTGCTCAATTTCTTTAAATTTTCTATTCTAATGCAGGATATAGATTGGCCGTCTTCATAACATAACCCGTGATAGAATAAACATAATTTCCAAATATTTGGATTTTTAATTTATTATTTTGAGTAACAAGTATTAGGATTTAGAACCAACAGTAAATTTCTGAGTACAACTAAATTGACATATTCCTTTCCATGGTTTTTGTACCTTTAACCTTCCTACAATTATTTTCCTCTACATCAATAAAAAAGCAGATCATATGAATAAAAGCAATATTTTCTTCGGATAAGAAACATAAAACTTATACTATCTATAGCCTAAAATATTTAGAAAGCCCAGATACATCATACCTTTTCCTTGTACATATTTCTAAGCCTTCTAGCCTCTTCGTCCATGGGCTGATCAATCTTCTGATTTAAAGTCCACACATTACCATCTTCACCAGCGTCTTCATCATTTGTACTGCTCGTAGCCATTTGAAACTTAATTGCTCAACTTTTTCTTTGGTGTTCCACTGATTCACCTCTCTGCTATTCTGTCATCAATCAATTAACCATATCGTCACGTTTCTATCTGTATCAAAAGCCATAAAACGTAGTTCATTTACCCCACCTAAAGATTATTACAACGAAATTAAAAGACAAATCTGCAAATAAGAGAAAGAATCAGAGTATGTTTGAATAACTAGTTTTCAGATAATAACTTTCACAATGTAGCTCTTACTTGTTCAGCACAGAGATGTAGGTAAAATTAACAGAACATAAATCGGTTCTACTTCTAGAGGAAATCAAAAGCTACTTTCTGTGTCGAACAACTTCCCTCCACGATACCCCCAAACCTCTTCTAATAAAATCCTATATCTACACCAATTGTACTAAGGCCCCGTTTGGTTCCTATACTTAAACCCATGATTCTGATTCCGCTATAGCATTTTCATCTCACAAAGAGTTTGAATTCAAACATTTCTTCTCTCACACAGTTCCTGCCAATGAATCAAAATCACTAACTTGAACGTGTGAACCATACAGAACTTAAATTACTGACTATTCTGAACACCATTAATTTTCCATTTCTTACACATATCAGAAAGTAATATGCAACCTGAAATACACATTTCATACCACAGCAGGCATCTTGCAAGAGCAAAAGAAATCTTTTGATAAGTTCTCAACAAAACCTGCCTACCATTAATCCGCAGCAAAATCAACTCTGGAACTGATAAGTGCCAAAAGAATGTGTCATCACAATTTTCATTTGGAATTTATGACGAAATTGTATCAAGAAACAAAATGCACCGGCAAGGAAAATACGAAAAAGATCTCAGCTCTTAAAGGTTAGCCAAACAGCTTTTCCACCCAAAAGTTCATCAATTCCAAATATTAAAGCTTGTTCAAGTACATGTTTTCAACCAAACCTTAGCGAACAAAACCAGATCAAATGGTAAAAACTGCAGCACCAATTACGAAACTATAACCAGAATTAAAATGAAGCAAAACCAGCTCAAGAGCACCAAAATTATGACTTCCAATAAATTAAAAGATCAAATCTTCCTGATCAATCACAGTACAGTTTGCAATACCAATTACGGACAAGAAACCAGAAATTACATGAAGCCAAACAGCTCAAGAAACAAAATGTAGCAGTAACAACTTTAAGAGCACCAGAATCTTATTTTCACTGAGAAAAAAAAAGAAAAATCAAATGCTCCAAAATCAATAACAGTACAATCCCTCAAATGGGTTTTGTCTGAAATGGTGTTGAAACTCGTCACAGCAAAGAAAAGATCAAGAAACCCAGAAATGAAAAAGGAAAAAAAAAAGTGAAAGCCCAGGAAAAGATTTTTTTTTTTCCTTACCCAGGAAAGAAGCAAAATGAAGAGAAATAATCCAAAACCCCGATCCTTAAAAAGACATTCCCTTACTCGTTCGGCTCTTTAGGGATCTTTAGTTCTTCCACTTTTCGCTTTTTTTTTTTATGCATGCGGGTCAGAAACTAACGTGGTTGATAAAATCATCTGGAAATGTAAATTAATGGCTTCAAACATGTGATGCGAATCTCATAAAATAATGGGCTACATGAGTTTGGTGTGGACTTTGGACATAAGAGAAAACTGAACCAGATGACGTCACTTTCAAAGATTCTAATATCTGTTCCCCTTAATTACATAAGTACCCCTTAACGATCAATCGAGCCTCTCAAATTTTGAAAATGTTTTTTTTTTTTTTATCGGGGCCGAATTAGGTTGATTCTAATCATGATTTAAATTATAGTAATTTTAATCATGATTTAAATTAGAGTGATTTTAATCATAATTCTATAAATAAAATTATGATTCACAATTTTAGGTTCAAATCATGATTCAAAATCAGAGATTTAAATCACTTTTAATCAAGAGGGAGTAATTTTAGAATCACGAGTGATTCTGGGTCAAAACATCACATTAAATTATGAATCATAATTTAGAATCATCCAAACCAAACACTGATGCTGAATTATGATTCAGAATCACTGTAAATAAATACTGATTTTGAACCAAGATTCAAAATCATGATCCTGGATCGATCTACCAAACGAACCCTTAATAATTGGTAGTTTTTTCAGTAGATGCCAAAAAAATAAATTATCAATAGTTTAATGCTTTCAATAACTGTCTGATCTGAATCAGAAATTGTTTGTTCTGTAAATTTTTTATTAATTTAATGTGATTTTAACTAAATTTAACGATCATAAACTAAAGTTTAACTAGAATATGATATTTATTAGTAAAAATGGTATTCATTAGTAAATACGCTACTTACATGTAAATGTAGCGTTAAACGGTCGTCGGAGTCGGTAGCTGACTTTTCGGATAAATATGATATAGACTAGTAAATACGGTATTTACCGGTAAATATAATGTTAAACGGTCGCCGGAAACAACCGCCATAAAGCGGTCACAGGTCACCGAAAAACGGTTGCCATTCATTGGAGCTGATCGCCAATCCCGACTATGGTGGACTTGACTATAATATGCATATTTTAAAAAATATGCTATAATTTACTATTTTTTAAAAAATAAATATTTAGAGGAATGAGTTAGATAAAAAATGAAGTTTATGGGTATTTTTTAGTTTTTAATAATGTTTAAAACTTAAAGTATCAAATTATACTATACTTTACTATTTTTATAAAATATACTATAATTTACTAATTACTCTACTAATTATATTATTTCACTCATTCTCCCGAACAAGAATTAACACAAATCTAAACACCTATTAAAAAAAATCAAATATGTGGTTAGGGGTGGGGGAGTTGTCATTGGTTGGAGCTTGACGTTTGGTTCATAGATTAGAATCATAAGATTAGAACCATTTTTGATTTACGTGTATTTTTTGTGAGAGAAAATATTGTAGCGAACCATGAATCATGATTCGAATCGGGGTACGAATCTCTCAACCAAACAACCTCGCCCAACTGATCATGAAAAAATAATAATTTAAATTTTAAAAAAAAACTATGTGAAACAAAAAGGAAAATTGGCAGCCCTTACATCAAGGTCAAAGTTAAGCGACCTAACTACACAGAAACAAAGGACCAAGAAAAAAAAAAGGCGCAACCCCAACTATACACTAATGACAGGTAGGTACCCCCTGCCCCAATCGAGCAACATCAGAAGACACAGAAGTAGAAGAGAGATTGCCATACCTTCAAAAAAAAAAAAAAAAAAAAAAAAAACAAATTGCCATGACTTCACTAAAATTGGATTGTTTGTTTCAGCGAAAAAAAAAAAAAAAGAAGAAGATTGTTTGTTGTACTACCTTGGTTGGGTGTCTTCTTCTCGCTTTCGTGGGGTAGAACTGATGTATCACGAACTCATAATTATAAAAATAAAAAATAGATATAAGTTCATTCGAGGTTCCTTGATCTTTGTTATAGTTTCGTTATAGAAAAATTAAGACCCGTTTAGTTCGTTAATTCGAGTTTTTAAATTATTATCTCTTTAGGTTTTGAGGGTGGTGGCAAGCGCAATACTTGCTCCACCAAATGCCAGATGGCCTCCGCTCATTGACTTGATAATCATCGCACACAATCTTGTTGCCGTTGAAACTCGTTGCACCCTGGGAGACTTTCTGATTTTACTTTCTTGTTATGCTTTCTGTAGAGACAAATTATAAGCATGGGTAGGTTTGTTCCTTTTGATTAGTTTGGACAAACGATTTTTATTTTGCATTTTTCAAACTTTTTTTTTTTTTTAATGAAAGGTGTTTACTTTTTATTTTCATTTTTTTGAGGGCAGTTTAGTCTTTTTGTTATAAAAATTTAGTTCAGATAATGTATGGCGTAGGCGAAGGCGTTTCTATTCAAATTTTGACAATTGACATCAATCTGATGACGTTGTTGCAAAATTTACAATGCATTTTGTTAGTGGATTCGTGCCATGATTCGAATCATAATTCGTAGTTCGCTATAGTATTTTATCTCATAAAAAACACACGTAAACTGAAAATGATTATGAATCATAATTCTGAATTTATGAACCAAACGTCTTGGCCTTCGGTTTTAATATATCGATTGAATTGCATTTATTATGTTTTGATATTCCAAAATGTTACAGCTCCTCTACATTGTTTCCCTTGAATCAAGTTGTTGAAAAATTGCAATCGGTGGTGGTTTACCAAATGACCATACTTTTATAATTGTTTCCTACTAATTATTTCCCATCCTTCTTTCCCTTGTAGCCACTATTGGAGTCCATCCAAACCATAAAATTTCTTTAAAATTTTTGTTCCTCTATTTCATGAAAAAATTAAAACTGTGCCCTGTGTAATAATTAAAATTTATAACTATGATATCATTCCAAAAAAAAATTATAATTTTTTTTCTCGTATTATGCTCTATTGAAAATTTGAAATAAGTTTTATGGCTGTCAATACTATACAGATGCTATGCAAAACCATAACAAGTACTTAAATATCTTTCATATCTTTCGAAGAATAAGACAGATGTGCGGAGTTTAAATGGCGCTGATAAAAAGTAGCTAAATTAGTAGATTATAAAAAAATAACACTACCTATGATGAGTATGTTTGGTAAAACACAACTTTCACTGCTAATTTATAAACTGATATGAAAATGATATATTAGTATTTGCATTGTTAGTTCCTACATTGCTATTACACCCTTATAATTAACTTATATGCATGTCATTGCCATGTAAATTTGTTGAAATGTGAAACGAGTAATGAAGAGTTTTACACAATATCCGGAGACACTTGAAACTCGATTCACGTGAACTGCCACAAATGGATGTGATAAAGGTTTTTTTTTTTTTTTTTTGGTCTGGTTTGCTGAAAAGAATTTGGTGTAATTGTGTCTATTATTATGATAGATAAACAATAATTATAGTAAATAGTATATTTTTAAAAATAAATTAAATAAATAACATATGTTAAAATATTTGAACGGAACTGATGAGTAGTGTTATTACACATATGATTGAGACATATTTAAATTAAAATGAAATTGAATACATTTTATAAACAAATTAAAAAATATTAACATTACTTGTAGGTCCTTAAACACATAGGGTTGTTATCCTAATTTAACAAATTAAGATTTACTTTTTTTTTTTTATGTTTTTCTTTTGTTCAGCTCCTCTGGGATGGGTCATGTAGGCCCCAAAGAGACATGGGCCCACCTCATGTGTCTGGAGAGCTGCGGCACGGAGGCGTTTAGCATTTCTATTAAAATAAGGAAAATAGTAGAAAATAAGTAAATATGAAAAGTTTAAAAAATATACAAATTAATTTTTAGTTATAGAAATTAATAGGTCATAATTTATTAAGTTATGGTTTATAATCAGATAAGTTATGGATAAATTTATCAAGTTATGGTTCATAGTCAGATAAATTATGGATAATTATAGACAATAATTTGTCAAGTTATGGTTCATAACCAGACAAGTTATGGACGAAAACAGTAATTTGACCTATTTATTAACTTATGTAAACTATTGGCCTATTAATTTTAATTCATCTCAAGTCTTGACCTATTTTCCTCTTTCAAATGTATAATTTTTCAATAACTTTAAAATGCAAGAATGGAAAATGTTAAAAAAAAAAAAAAAAAGAAGAGAAATAATATTTTATTTTGATAATAGAAAAGTGAGAATTCACTTATCATGTCAATGGATATTAAAGTTGGTAAAATAACTAGTATGCCTAGCCTTTTTAAGAGGCTATTAGCTTAATGTACAACAAGTTAATAAAGGTGCACACTTACTAATGAGTCCAAAATTGGCCCAATTATTGTGTAAGCTCATTAATGGTGTTCTATTGGAAGATAGAGCAATGTTGACAAGCCGCATCGAGCTGCTGCTTCATCTGACACAAATTGGTGGAGCCTACTTGTAGATACGCAAGTCAAATTTGAATCACGAGCTTGAGTTAATAAATGCACGTTAATTCATTGATTTAAAAATTAAAACGTGATTTTATGTGAGAATTTTTTACTGTAATAAAAAAATTAAATGTGACTGTTTTTTAAAATTTTTTACTGTAATAAAATTTAAATTCTAAACTCGAATAATTGTAATAAGCGGGGATTTACTACTCGTGTTTATGATAAATGTTTACTTGTTATGAAAATAGCCAGTTGATTACCCTACTTACTTGAATTAGACATGAAATCAAATAAACAAAAGTTACCTAATTATATTAGCGAGTTCAGAATGAGTTTTTTACTATTTACTTTGTAAGCTACATTAATGATGCATGAGAACATATAATTTTCATTTTTTGCGGATATGTAAGTCGTATTTAAATTTAGAATTACAATTAATAAATGAATCGCATTTATGGTAACTATATACACGTTAGAAAGTAACGGATTTATTATCCCCATTTGAATTACCCGTCATTTAATATAAAATTATTTTTTAGAAGCACAAGAGTTACCACACAATAGGAAATGGTACTCTTCTCTACTTAGGCTCATCTAAATTGAACTAATTTCATCAACGAAGTACCAATAACGTGATATCAATGGTAATAGCATCAAAACTAACAAGATCATCAATTGAATAACTAACTCATCATCGTTGTAGCATACCTGAAAATACATGCTTGCAAACTTAAATAATTAGGCTTCGTTCACTTCGCGGATTTGAGTTTTTAATTCGAGCTAATATGTGATTTTTTCTGAGAGCTGTTTACTGTAACAGAAAAAGTTAGATGTGATATTTTTTTAGAGCTTTTAACTGTAAAAACTTAAAACTCAAAATTCAAATCGGTGAAATGCATCCTTATCTGTTAAACGTGGCAAGGACAACCCTTTGCTATTAGGAGAAGAAATGCTACAAAGCCTTGATTTCTTCATTCATCCTTTGGTTTATTTAAAGGGCAAAAGACGTGATCCATACGTTCTCATTCCACTTCTACCTCCTCAATGTAATTGGACTAAAAAGTATCCAAGTAGGGTTCCGTAAACTGACTCATTTTTTCAAATATTTAGTTAGAGATACTTCAAAATTATTATAAATGGAGTTTAACTGAAAAAGAAAAGAGCGATTAAAGATAGAGAGTTTAATCGAAATGTGAAACCATACTTTAAAGTAAATTTGAATTGAGTTGAGCGAAATAAATAAAAGAGCAATTTAAGACAGATTTTCAGTTAAAAATAAAAAACGCGCGAAAAAAGATTTATGTCCAGAGAAGACAAGATTAATTATAATAAATTATTTATATCTATCACATAACTACTATCATTAGCTAACCGTACTGGAAAAAATATATTTTAGTAGATTTGAATCGAGTTGAGCGAAAAAAAAGAGCGATCCAAGACAGATTTTAAGCCAAACAAAAAATGCCTGAAAAATATGTCTAAAAAAGGCAAAGTTAATTATAGTAGATTCTTTATATCTATCACACAACTATTATCATTAGCTAACCGTACTTAAAAAAGATATTTAGTAGATTTGTATCGAGTTGAACAAAATAAAAAAAAAAAGAGTGATCTAAGATAGATTTTAAGTCAAAACAAAAAAAAAAAAAACGTGAAAATGATCTAGCTAAAAAAGTAAGGTTAGTTATGGTAGTAAATAGATTGTTTATATCAATCACATAACTATTATCATTAGCTACCATCAAGATTTACACATGCAAGCAGCACTAAGTAAGAAACAAAAAAGAAAATCATGAATAGAACAAGGCTCTCAAGTGAAAAAGAAAAAGCAAAAGAAGAAAAGTTGAGAAACAGAGAAAAATTATAAACAAAAAAAAAAAAAAAAAACAGAGCACTCCATACAAAACCAGGCAGGCAAAGCAATTGATGGCTAAATACTCCATTGTTTGTTGTGGGAATAGAAACATCTCCTCTCTCTTTTTATCTCTCTCCTCCACTTTTTTCTTCTTCATTCATGGAGAGAGAAAAGCAGAGAAAAAGAGAAGAATGTGCTTTCCATTGCTAATTGAGACTCAGAGGAAAAGAAAAAAGAGGGAAAAAAAAAAGAAAAAAGAAAGAGAAGGAAAATTTGGGCAGTGCAAGAGACGTGGTGATGCCACGTGGCGAGATCCCAGTGGACGTGCATATCGAGCTTCAGCAAACAATAACAACGACATCACCAACAACACCAACAACACCAACAACAGTACCCCACTCTCTCTCTCTCTCTCTCGAGTCTCGCCTCTCTTTCTCTCTCATGCCATGTCAGAGTGCAAACCCCGTCCTATGGCGAATCCGTATTTGTATGCTTCTCTCTCTCTCTCTCTACAAAACTCTTTAAAAACTCTCTTTCTCTCTCTACTTATTTTGTTTCTCTCTCTTGTCTGTCTCTATCTTTCTTCCTTTCTCGTACTCTCTCCTATATCTCGCTCCCCAAGCTTCCATGCCCTAACCCTCTCTCTCTTTCTGTTTCTCTCTCAATTGCTCAGTCGCCGAGGCTGCTCTGCCTATTGGGTTCTTGATTTGATCCCTTATTCGGATTGGCGAGCTTCTTGATTCATTTGGGTGCGTTTTATTTCTCTTCTATTTTAGTCATTTTTCGGTTGAAATTTATTGTGGTGTATTATGGATTTTTGTTGAAATTTCGAGCTGACCCATTTGTTGTTTTTTGCTCATTTTGATGTGGATGTTGGTTTATTGTTGAAATTTTGAGTCTTTAGCTTTGATTGGTGTTGATAAAGTTAACATCTTTGGAGTTTGATATTTTTAGTTTTGAAGTATTTTGGATGATAAGTGGCTTATAAAATGGGGGTTTTGAGTTAGCTTGAGCCAAATGTGTTTGCATGCTAACATTCTTTGTGGATTGATTGTAAAATTTCATCAATTTCCTTGTGAAGTGCATTTGACATTTGGTGACGTAGAGATTGGAAAATGTGGGGTTCGGTATATACAGTTGTTTGGCTTATGAGATATTGGTTTTTGCAATGGCGTTTTACTCTAGTTTGGATATTTGGGATATTCTTTGTGTGTGTGATATATATATATATATATATATATATATATATATTGCATGTAGTTCGAATTGGGGTATATGGGAATGTGCCATTCTCATGCTATATGGAGTGAATTGCACGTGCATGTTTGCATACCTATTTGATGATTTTTGTGTTTAGTTTCATTATGCTGGTACCAGGAATCTATCGCCTAGCATTAGAGTGGCTATTGATGTTTTAGTTATGGTGTCGTTTGAATTAGTTTTCTGTTTCTACTTCTAACACACCAAGGTAGAGTTATAGAGCTTGCAAAGAGGTGTAACTTTGTCTTCTTGAGTTCAAATACCTGTTTTCTATTGGTGTCGGTTGTCACCAATGTTCAATTAGTCAATTGAAATGAAGAGCTTCTTTTTACTATGTCAGCTCCTACTGCCGTGTTTTTACACCTACGGTCGTATTTAACCATGGAAATTGCTACATATTTGGGTTCTTATTGATCTTTGATGTTGTTATATCGTCATAAGGTGAAAAACTTGCAATTGCTAGGATGACTGACCCAGAAAAAAAAGGTTTCATGGCCAGGAGTACATTAGTGAAGGGTGCAGTTCTTGGTTTTATTTGTTTTTCGGTTTGCTAATGTAAGCATTTAAAGTGCAGGAATGATTTTGTTGGGCGTTGCTGTACGAGAAATGCTGTGGATGCCTCGCTTTTTTAGCGATTAATGAGTCATAACATGCTTATTGTTATTGCTAATGATCTATGCAAGACTGAAGGCTGAGAGATGAAAGAGAACAGTTCATCTAACACTAACAGTAAAATGATTAACCGGAACTGGGTTTTGAAGCGCAAACGTAGAAAACTTCCTTATGGACCTGATGTAGCTAATGTCAAAGAAGACAATGCAGCTGCATCTGGATCTGCTAGAAATACTTCTTCAGCTAAACGCAAAGTGAAGACTGAGATAATTAATGAGCGATTTTCATCCAAAAAGAAAGGAAATGACGGGGTGAGTTGTTTTTTACTTTGTTCTTCCTTTTGAGTCAGTTATATTTGTTGTTTTACTTATATGGTAGTTGTTGGTTTTGTCCCTCTTTTCTAACCGTGGATCTCTCATTCTATTTATGACTAAAATTTCCATTCTTACATATGTTGTTTTTTCTTTTTTCGTTGTATTGTTACTGTTTAGTGTTCAATGTTTCCCTCACTAATTTAGCATTTCAGTTGTTAAGTCTTACGGGTTTGTTGAGTGGAAAAACTTGTCGTTTGTTTTCACAGCATCTATTGTTGGGATCTTCAATTGGCATTGAAATTGCAGGAATTTGCAGAGTCTTGTTTCAATCTGAGCACTTAATGCAAAGTTCCATCTCGTTAGAGTTAAATACAGACATTATATCATATATTCTATATCATTTGTAGTTGCTAATTGTAACATCTATTTTGGTGGAGATCATTTCTTTGAGATACAATGTGAAACGTCCCTTGTTATGGATTGCTTTTGCTTCATAATTCTTTCCTTTTACGCATTTTTAAGCATTCCCTAACTTCATTTTTTTGTTGGTCCATTCTCTGATCCAGTATTTTTATGAGTGTGTGGTCTGTGACCTTGGTGGTAACTTGTTGTGTTGCGATAGCTGTCCACGCACTTATCATCTTCAGTGCCTTAATCCACCTCTTAAGGTATGTTCCGTTTTCCTACTTCTTGCTGCCTGATTTATTCAAAAAAGAATTTTCCTCTGGTTTGATGTACTAATTTTTGAGACTTTGTGGATTGGTAAATGTATCATCTGAAGCGTATCCCAATGGGAAAGTGGCAATGTCCAAATTGTCAGAAAGGCGTTTTGCTAGAGCCCACAAGTAATTTGGATACAATTTCAAAACGAGCAAGGACAAAGATTGTTACCACAAAATCCGGTTCTGGAATCAAGTCACCTGAAAGAGAAAAAATATCCCGAATATTTGGAAATACTATAATTGCAAAGAAAAGGTCCTCGAGCAAAGGAAAGTCTATTTTAAGTCATGGTGTAAAATCCCCTGAAAAGAAACTTGTCTCCTCCCAAGTAGATAAGTCTTCCAGTGTCAAGTCAGGAAATTTACTTGATGATGCTCCTTTAGCAGGTATTTCATCATCATTAAATGTTGAAGATGAAAGAAAATCTGAGAAGTCCCCAGTGGAATCTGGGGATAAGAGTTCAACCTCTCCTCTGAAGGAAGCTTCATCTCCTTCTAAAGTTCCAGTATCAGAACCAACTGATGAAGCTTCTGCAGGGTATTCTTCTCTTGAGGTGAAGCCCAGTTTGTCTTGTAACAATGCTTCTGAAGGAAATACTGTTGTACTTGCAATTAGTGCAAAAGCTGAGGAGACAAGAAAAAGAAAACATAAAGCCAACGATGAGAAAAGTCAAAAGAAGTCTAGGAATGACAAGGGAAAAGGTGTCGTTAGTATTTCTAAACAACGCGGATCTGGAGTAAATACTGCAAAACCTGGAAGCAGTAAATCGCGAAGGAAGCATAGATCTCTTAATTCTCATGTTTCGGTATCGTTGTCAAAGGAAGACATTGGAATAAAGAATTCTGACGTCGAGGGAAAAGACGAGGTATTTATTAGTTTTATTATCTGTTATTATCCTTAAATTTGTGGCTATCATTGTAATTATACTATATTGAAATTTATCTGTTGAACTTAAGGCAGTCAGAACTCATAATAGAAGTGGTGCCAGAATAAATGCTTATTAACACAGGAAATAATACTTTGGGACCTAGCACCACCTTCTTATTAATACAATCCTTTAAGCAATGGTTTTTCCAGATGTTTTGGAATTCCGTTGCATATATTGTAATATCGGGGAACCTTGAGTGCCTTAGGATAGCATTCAGTTTCAACTATATGTAAGTTTGGATTAGCTCTCAATCTTACAAGGTCTGGATAATTGAGAAGCAAATAGCTTATAATAGGTGGTGCATCAACAAATGCATATGGTAGACTAGAATTTTTTTAACTGTACGTACTAATACCTGGGTGGTTAGAATGATAATTATTTCTTCTTCGTGTTCTTCTTATTTTATTTTATTTTATTTATTTATTTATTTATTTTTCCCAAATCTCTTGTTCTGACTAAAGAATGCTTAAAAAGTTCACATCAAACTAATGTAAGCAATTTGCATACTAAGATGTGATGGGGGGTACCCCGTCCCAAATACCTTATTAATCTCTGATTCAGATTTGCGTGTTAAGCAAGATTTTATTTACTTATTTTTCTGATAACTACATGTCTCACAATTTCCCTGTCTCGTCTCTGTGTGTGGATGTGTGTATCTGCCTGTTCTTTATCTTTTTGCGTAATTTAATTCACTTTCATTCTTTACATGTTTGAACTACCTTTTCAATCAAATGCTTAAAGTTCCTTTTTTTTAATCTATATACCCTCATCCTGCTGGCATCGTCTTTATGTGCTTCTTTTATTTGTTACTGTTTTCATTGTACCACGAATTGCTTGTATTATCATTGCTGTTGGTAATGTTGGATAATGTTATTTTTGTGTGCACTAGTACATAGTTAAATTAATTAGTTTTTTGCAGAAGCTTCTTGAGGATGCAAAAAACCCACCATGCGATATGGATAAAGAAGGGAAGCAGGTGGTTGACACACCTATATGTGAAAGTGCTGTAGCTGAATCCCTGCAGGTAAAATAAGCAATGAAAATTGGTTAAGTTGCTTTTATCAACAGTTTCGAAATGTGCTTTTGTGTGAGTATACTATTAACAATGAAAATTGATTATGTTGCTTTTATCAACACTTTCGAAATGTGCTTTTGTCTGAGTTAATTATTATTGATCTGACCGAAATTGTGTTTCTTACGTATCAAAACCACAGGTTGATCGTATTTTGGGATGTCGAGTTCTGGGCAATAACAATGACTCTTCACATCACTTATCGGTGACAGATGCCAATGACCGTTCTGATGAATTACTAATTTCAGAAAAAGCATCTGAGGAGAATTATGCCTCTGATCATGAGTTAGATGTGGGAGCTGCTGAAATTCTTACTGAAAGTACAGTAAATGATGTAACAAGTGTTGATGCGGAAGAATGCATAAAAAATGATTTTAGAGTAGATAAACTACATGTATACAAAAGATGTGTGAACAAAGAAGGTAAAAAAGGGAATGGAATAGATTTGATGCAGAAAAATTGTAAAAATGCAGGATTTACTACTGTGATTGTTAAAGATCAAGATGAATCTGCTGTGCCTACAGAGGAGTCAGGAAAAACACATGAAAAATTGGTGGCAGACGAGGCTATGAATTGTAGCTTGACAGGTCATGATGATACTGAGGCTCCCCAAATCTATGAAACAAATGGCTCTAATGAAAGCAAGGAGGAAAAAGTTGTGGATAAAGAAGTAAAAAGTGGTGATGGTGCTGAAAACAAAATTCAGGAGCCCACTGTTGCTGAAAGTGCATATGTTGACGGAGAGACGGTTCTGTATGAATTTTTAGTTAAATGGGTGGGAAAGTCTCACATCCATAATAGTTGGGTCCCTGAGTCCCAGCTGAAAGTCCTGGCTAAGAGGAAACTGGAGAACTACAAGGCTAAGTATGGAACATCCATTATAAACATCTGCGAGGAAAAATGGAAGCAACCGCAGAAGATCATAGCTCTTCATTCATCCAATAATGGTGGTGGTGAGGCTTTTGTGAAATGGACCGGACTGCCTTATGATGAATGCACTTGGGAGAGTTTGGATGAGCCTGTTGTTAAAATATCTCCACACTTGGTTGATTTGTTTAATCAATTTGAGCGTCAAACATTAGAAAAAGATGTTTCTAAGGATGAATTGCCAAGGGGGAAGGCTGATTCTCAGCAAAAGGAAATAGCTACTCTTGTGGAGCAGCCTATGGAGCTAAAAGGAGGTTCATTATTTCCGCATCAGCTGGAAGCACTGAATTGGTTGCGTAGGTGCTGGCATAAATCCAAAAATGTAATACTAGCTGATGAGATGGGCCTCGGGAAGACAGTATCTGCTTGTGCCTTCATTTCATCATTATATTGTGAGTTCAAAGCTACTCTTCCTTGTTTGGTCTTGGTTCCATTATCCACAATGCCTAATTGGCTTGCTGAGTTTTCATTATGGGCTCCACATTTAAATGTTGTAGAGTATCATGGCTGTGCTAAAGCAAGAGCCATTATTCGTCAGTATGAATGGCACGCTAGTGATCCAAATGACACAAATAAGAAAACGGCTGCTTATAAATTTAATGTCCTCTTAACTACATATGAGATGGTCCTTGCTGATTCCTCGCATCTACGTGGAGTTCCTTGGGAAGTTCTTGTAGTTGATGAGGGGCATCGTCTGAAGAATTCTGGGAGTAAGCTTTTCAGCTTACTCAATACATTCTCTTTCCAGCACCGTGTGCTTTTGACTGGTACTCCTCTTCAGAACAATATTGGTGAGATGTATAACTTGCTTAATTTCTTGCAGCCAGCATCATTCCCTTCCCTATCTTCATTTGAGGAGAAGTTTAATGATCTTACAACAGCCGAAAAAGTGGATGAATTGAAAAAACTTGTTTCTCCACATATGCTTCGTAGGCTTAAAAGGGATGCCATGCAAAACATTCCCCCCAAGACTGAAAGAATGGTTCCTGTCGAGCTTTCATCCATCCAAGCTGAATACTACCGTGCTATGTTGACGAAGAATTATCAGATTTTGCGAAATATAGGGAAAGGGGTTGCACAACAATCGATGCTCAACATTGTGATGCAATTAAGAAAGGTCTGCAATCATCCATATCTCATTCCTGGCACAGAGCCTGATTCTGGTTCAGTTGAATTCCTTCATGAAATGCGGATAAAAGCTTCAGCCAAATTGACTTTGTTGCATTCTATGCTTAAGATTTTATACAAAGAAGGTCACAGAGTCCTTATCTTTTCCCAGATGACAAAACTGCTTGATATCCTTGAGGATTACTTAAATATAGAATTTGGGCCTAAAACATTTGAGAGAGTGGACGGTTCTGTTGGTGTTGCTGATCGTCAAACAGCAATTGCCCGGTTCAACCAAGATAAAAGTCGATTTGTTTTTTTGTTATCAACACGCTCATGTGGTCTTGGGATCAATTTGGCAACTGCTGACACAGTCATTATCTATGATTCTGACTTCAACCCACATGCTGATATCCAAGCCATGAATCGAGCACATCGAATTGGACAGTCAAATAGACTTTTGGTGTACCGGCTTGTAGTTCGTGCGAGTGTTGAAGAACGCATCTTGCAGCTTGCGAAGAAGAAACTTATGCTTGATCAGCTTTTCGTTAACAAGTCTGGATCCCAAAAGGAAGTGGAGGATATTCTAAGATGGGGGACAGAAGAGCTTTTCAATGATTCTCTTAGCACTGATGGAAGAGATACAGGTGAAAATAGTACCAAAGATGAGGCAGTGGTAGATGTTGAACATAAGCATAGGAAGAGGGGTGGTGGTTTGGGGGATGTTTATCAGGATAAGTGTACGGATGGCAACAATAAGATTGTGTGGGATGAAAATGCGATTATGAAGTTACTTGATCGGTCGAATCTGCAGTCTGGATCAACTGATATTGCTGAGGGGGACATGGAGAATGATATGCTTGGTTCAGTAAAGGTAAAAAATTCACGACTCATATACAAAATGCCACTTGAAGAATAGGATGTTATGATTTTATTTCTTAATGTAATAGAACTAGTAGTCAGTTAAACTTACTTTGCGGAATGCTAGAATTATCAAAAAGAAACAAATAGTCTGCAATATACTTAACAGAAACTAAAACTTAGAAAAGTTCGCACATCTCTTGGGCTAACTTTTCCAATTCATGTTTTAATCAGTCTCTTGAGTGGAATGACGAACCAACTGAAGAACAAGGAGGAGCTGAATCTCCTCCTGGTATGACTGATGATATGTCTGCACTAAGTTCTGATAAAAAGGAGGACAACACTGTTACTGAAGAAAATGAGTGGGACAGACTATTGCGTGTGAGGTATGAACTTCTCTTGTGTTCTTCGATTGGCAGAGTGTTTATGTGTTATGCACCATTATTATCTCCGATTCTCCGCTAACATCACTGGATTTTGTAGGTGGGAGAAATATCAAAGTGAAGAGGAAGCAGTTCTTGGTCGTGGGAAGCGTCAACGAAAAGCTGTTTCTTATAGGGAAGCATATGCTCCACACCCTAGTGAAACATTGAGTGAGGTAATCATATTTGGTTTCTGTCTGAAAGGACATGATTTGCTTTTGTTTAACTCGTCTTTTGGATCTGATCCTTCGTATTACAGATGTCATTTTGAAGGTCCTTTACCAGTACATCTCGTTGACTAAATAAATACAACTAAACCACTGTGCAAGTGATTCTTGATTGTGGATAATTAAGCTTGTTAGTTAGCGGCTGCTGTCTTCTAGTATTTCAGGTTTCTGGTTAGTGAGCATGCATTCTAGGATATTGAATTTTGCATATCCTGTTATATACCAAAAGTCCCACATGGAATAATTATAAGATGATTAGTGGGTTTATAAGCCGTTGGGTCCCCTCCCCTTGCAAGCTGGTTTTGCAAGGGTGAGTTTTACCCAATGAGTTTGTTAGATATCCTTGTACATAAATTTTGGGCAAAGAATTATGTTAAGATGGTAAAGCTAGAAAAGACAGAATATCTCATATCCTTGTAAATAAAATGTTTAATGAAGGTCTTAAAATATGAAAGACTAGAAAATGCCTAGATATTTCAAAAACTGAAGGAAATTTTCTTCAATTAGGTTTTTATAAACCCCGAAGCTGTTTTGGATACTTTGGATTATTTTATGACGGATTCCAGCCTAATATATTATTCCATCTGATTTGCAATCAGGAGCGTTAGGGACATACTTTGTTCAGTAATCTTGCTCTCTCTGCATGAAAATTATTGCATTAAACTAGGAAGTTCATTGCTCTTTGAAAACACACACACACACACAAAAGGGGCTAATTCTGAAATCCACATTGGGTAGAGAGATAATAACTATGGAGCATATCAAGAGAAGCATTGTCCTTGCAATCCAGATGCCATCTGCATAAATACTAAGATGCAGAATTTAACATTCAAGAAACACAATAAAAAAATGTGAATCGTTTGGGCCAGTTAAGGATTGCGTTCTCGTTATTGATATCTACCTGTAATGATGTTCCCTTTTCTTTGTTTTAATAGATCGAAAAAGTCTGTTTTATGTCTCTTTCGTATTTTTATTTTTTTCCCCTTTGCTGCAAGTGATGAGAACTTTTTGTTTCCTCTTGTAACATTTTATTTTGATAAAATTATTGTTTCTTATACTAAAATAATTATAATAAAGAAAAACTTTGGCATTTTTCAGATAACAATTTACTGATTTAGCAAAATGCATACTGTATTTCTGAATTGCAGTCTTTTCATGAGTAAGACATTTGAATAAAAAATCTGGAAGAGAGTCGAAAAGGATTAGCTAAGGACTTTTGGAAAAATTTTCCATTTGAAGAGAGAGAGAGAGAGAGAGAGAGAGAGAGAGAGAGAGAGAGACTATGATGAATAGTTATGAGTTCTAAAGAAATTTTGCCCTTGACATGTGAACTGTGTGGGGAGAGTCCTAATTGAATTATATGCTCATAATCTTGTAGTTGTAATTCTAGTTATTTATTATTCTTCCTATGTGTTGGTGTTGGTTTTAATTGTTTGTTCTTACAACAGAGTGGTGGCGAGGATCGTGAGCCAGAACCCGAGCCCGAGCGGGAATACACACCTGCAGGCAGAGCACTGAAAGCAAAGTTGTAAGTACAGATTCAACAAATGTATTGATTCCTTTGATTGAGAAAAGTGCCACAAACTCTTTGGTGAACACTTGAATACAATAGGAAATAAAAATATGATTTGATGTTTAGCGTCTTGTTTCCATTGAGCAGTGCTAGGCTCCGCGCCAGGCAAAAAGAGCGTCTTGCTCATAGGAATGCAGTTGAAGAATCGCGTCCTACTGAAAAATTGCCACTTGAGCCATCCCCTCATTGTCCTTCCACCAATGCTGAAGATTGCAGCGAGCAAGCATCTGGACTGGTTCAATCAGCCACAGAGAAGTCTTTAATAATTGACTTAGAGGATAAACAATATGATGCTCCCAAGAGGATGAGTGGATCTCCGTTAAGGCTTGGGAGGCTATCAAAAAACAAAATCAGCGGTCATCTTGATTGTTCTGTTAACCCTCTTGACCATCCTTCTCCTGACATATTCCTTCCAAGCCACCAGCTCGCAGGAACAAATTATTGTAACTCATTCACCAGCAATTTATTACCAGTTCTCGGGCTTTGTGCTCCCAATGCTAATCAAATAGAATCATCACATAAGAAGTTCTCAAGATCAAATGGCAGACAAAGTCGACCAGGAGCTGGACCAGAGTTTCCATTTAGTCTGGCTCCTCAGCCTGGCACTTTGACTGAGACAGACATAAACGTCGAGACCGTTACCAGCAGAATGAAATTATCAGACGCTTTGCCAGATTTTTCACAACAGCATCTTAAGAGTGGCATCCTAGATGGCCGTCTCCCTCTTAGCCTGGTAATCTCTTGCTCTATATTCGAGTTTTATAATATAGTGTGTTATTTATAGGCATGATTGAGAGCCTTTATTTGTTCCCAGTATCCTACATCTGTCCAAGGAATGGCTTCTGATAGTTTAGAATGTTGTGCTGCTACTTTTTCTGATTTTCAGGATAAGATTTGCCTGCCGAACTTACCATTTGATGAGAAATTGCTACCAAGATTCCCACTTTCATCTAAGAGTATGCCTAGTTCACATCTGGACTTCTTACCTAGCTTGTCTTTGGGTAGCAGAGAAGAATCTGGAAATGGCTCTTTGCAAGATCTTCCAACAATGCCATTGTTGCCCAATATAAAATTGCTGTCGCAAGATGCACCAAGATATAATCAGCAAGAGAGAGAGGCGCCTCCTACCTTGGGTTTGGGACATATGCCGACTATGTTTTCATCATTTCCTGAAAACCATAGGAAGGTGCTTGAAAACATAATGATGAGGACCGGTTCTGGTTCAAGCAACCCATTTCAAAAGAAATCGAAAGCAGACAGATGGTCAGAAGATGAACTTGATTTCTTGTGGATCGGGGTTCGTAGGCATGGGAGAGGTAATTGGGAAGCAATGCTCAGAGACCCCAGGTTAAAGTTTTCGAAGTACAAAACTTCAGATGACTTGTCGGCCAGGTGGGAGGAGGAACAGCTCAAGATCCTAGATGGCTCAGTTTATCCGGTGCCGAAATCAACCAAGTCAACGAAGTCTACCAAATCTTCATCATTTCCTGGCATTTCTGATGGAATGATGACAAGGGCACTACAAGGAAGTAGATTTGTTATGCCACCAAAGTTTCAAACCCACTTGACAGACATGAAATTGGGTTTTGGTGATCTTGGACCAAATCTGCCACATTTTGAAGCATCAGATAGATTGGGTTTGCAAAATGAGCCATTGCCCCCTGTTCCAACTTGGTTTCATGACAAGTATCGTGCAAATATCTCTGGTGATTCTGCTGCTGGGCCTACGGATAGACCAGGAACTTCTTCAAATATACCTGTTGAGAAGCCTTTTCTACTCAATTCTTATGGTACTAGTTGCTTGGGTTCGAGTGGTCTGGATTCCTCTGTCAGCCATGATGTTAAGGGAAAGTCAGATGAACAGGTTGGGAGTAAGTACGGAAAATTGCCTAGTCTTCTAGATAAATCGCTAAAACTTTTGCGTGATTCCACCAGTAACTTAGGCAGTGGTGAATCCACTAGTACGGCATTCCCGCCTGACCCTAGGAGAGGGTTCTCGCATCGGAAGGGGGAAGATGTAGCTGGAACTAGCTCTTCAAAGGACAGGCTGCCTCATTGGCTACGGGAAGCTGTAAGTGCTCCAGCAAAGCGACCGGATCCTGAGCTGCCACCCACTGTATCAGCAATTGCACAATCAGTTCGGTTACTATATGGCGAAGACAAACCGACAATTCCTCCATTTGTGATCCCTGGCCCTCCTCCTATTTTGCCAAAGGATCCAAGGCGGAGTTTAAAGAAGAAAAGGAAACGGAAGCAACATCTGTTAATGCGGGTTAATCCAGATATTGCTGGAAGTAGCCAGGATTTCCTGCACGGGGACAATGCTTCAAGCTCTATTCCCTTGGCCCCACCATTTTCACTGCTTCCACAAGCAGCAGCGTCAAGAGTTGAATCTGACCTCAACTTGCCTCCACTCCATTTAGATATGATGATTCCGTCATCCTCATCAGCACATGTAAAACAGCATAAGAAAGGGAGCACTGGCTTGTCCCCTTCCCCTGAAGTGCTTCAGTTAGTAGCATCTTGTGTTGCTCCAGGTCCACATCTTCCATCAGTTTCTGGCAGAACAAGCTCAAGCTTCCTTGACACCAAGCTCACATTACCAAAACCCGATGACCGAGTGGGTTGTTCAGACTCACAAAACTTATTTGGAGAAAAGGAAGATAAGCAGGATTCATCTCTTCAGGTACGGACTTCAATTCCAGAAGATAAAGTAGATGATCCTGAAAGTGGGGATTCCAGCAAAACTCATTCAGATCCTTCCAGAACCGAACAGCCCAATGAACCCAGTCTAGAGGAAATATCTTCCGAAGGAACTGTCTCGGATCATCCTTTGAGTGATCAGGAGTCATAGCTGTAATTTGGTAACTGAAAATTAAAAGAAATTCTTTATCACTGCTAAAGACTCTTCTCCAATGTGCTCAAATTTTTGTAGGTGTTAATTGAGTGACGGCATTGCCAATATAGGATTGTTTAGAACATGTCGTGTAAAGCTTCTGTTAGAGAATGAAATTATAGTGCTTCCTTCCTTTGCCTCACTGCCTCGTCAGTTCATGAGCTTTCTTTTCGCTTTCCATGTTTCACCAGTAAGGTCCATGTGTTAAGAATGACACATCTTGGGGGATATATCAAAGAACTGGTATTCGACTTGGGGAATGTTTCCTCAGCTATTTTCTCATAACAAGCCATTGAGCTGCGGCTTTCTTTATCCTCGGAACGGGGTTCTGAAAGGTAGTTACTCATTGAAGAACGCGAGTCCAAATTGGGCCGTTTTGCGCTTGACTGATGGTCTTGAGTATATGCAGGTCAGAAGGCTTCACTTTCGAGTACCGGTCTACTGTATGAGCAATGTATGCAGTATTGACTCTTGCAACCCTCTATTTGTTTTGAGTGTGTTGAGGGCATTTGGGAAGGATGTTGTTCTTATGGTAAAGCTACAGTTCTCGTAATTCCGTTTCCTACATTTATTTTCTTGATGTGGATGTGCATTAAAACACATTTCACATCAAGAAATGTTCAGCCTTTGGTGTTTGTTGTAACCATTTTGTACACAATTTCATATATAGCAAAATGATAGTTGAGAATCTTAAAGGAATGTTCCCTTCTTCTCCTTCCATTAGACTCTTGACAATTTGTGCAATTTCCCCACGGCCCACCAGCCCATTTTCATCGTTGACGTTGGGCCTAAGTGCTATTTGGGCGGATTCCGTTAGCAAAACGGCATTCATCTTCTGCTCTGCGTAGAGTGGCCAAGCGATTAGAGGCACGCCATGGACGACACTCTCAAGGGTCGAGTTCCACCCACAATGGGTTAAGAGCCCACCAGTTGAAATATGGGCCAAAACTTGGGCCTGTGGTGCCCAAGACGTCACCACTAAGCCACGCGCTTTGGTTGTCTCAAGAAACCCATTTGGCAAAAACGCAAAGGGATCGTTGTCGTTTCGGAGGCTGAAGAATGAACCGTTTGATACTTTGTCGTTTGGGCTTCGCACGACCCATAAGAATCTTTGCCCGCTCATTTCTAAGCCCAAAGCTAGCTCATTCATTTGACGAAACGATAATGTTCCTCCACTGCCAAACGACACAAACAAAACCGACCCACTTGGTTGGCCATCCAACCACTTCAAACACTCGGATTGATCTTCAAGAACCGGTCCACTTGAACCGGTTCTGATGAGTGGTCCGACCGGATAGATTAGCGGTTTACTAGCATGACCTTCTTCTTTCAACAAAGCTTGTATAGCCTTTTTCTTCCAACTTTATAAAGCTGTTGAGAATAATACCATCAGCCAAGCGAAACCGGTTCGTGTGGTAAACCATCAACTTGTAGGCCAAGTCGGACCGGTCTTGAACCGGGTCCAACAGATCTCCACTGTGAACTGGCATGCAACCGTGAAGCCGCACCGGTTCACCCATGGCTCTGTACTCTCCCGTGACCCTCTCATCCAGTTGAGGCAATTCCAAGCTAAACGACAAAATCATGGCAGAAGACGTAATGAAAATATACGAGGAAAGATTTAATTCCTCGGCAATGTCGAAATTCCTCGGCAATGTCGAACGCGTCAGTTCCAAAACCGTCAACGATAGCTTTTAGAGACTTCAGAACTTCGCGTAGAGGAGAGAGAGAGCGTGTTATGGCGAGGAAAATCTGAGTTTCGGCCTTGACGGCGGTGAGGCCGTGGAAGTTGACCGGAGGGAGATAAACGACGTTGAGTTTGCTGTCATTTGGGTTGGTGTAGTCGTCGTTGAGGACTTGTTTTAGGGTGGCGGAGGGTGGGCCAATTGTGGGAATGATGCAAGTGACGTGGAAACGGTGGTGGGAAATGAGTCGTTTTGCGAACTCAAGAAGTGAGATGAGATGACCCATCCCTGGACCTGGACCTGGTAGAATGGCCATGTGAGGTATTTGAGATTGATCCATTTTACTATACCACTTCAAAGATTTATGTTCAAGGAGAACCCGCTTGAGAACTATATATATAGACTACATATATAGGTGTATGTATATATATTTGCTCAAGATTATGGTGTGTGTATATACATATATGTATATATTATAATATATAAATGTAGTGGGATAGAGTCACATACAGCCAAGCAAAAGCAACTGTGCTATCAAGATTTTTTTTTAAAAACAAAACTTTTAATTATATATTTGTGATTTGATAAAATTTGAAGTTTATTGTTCTGAAATTATATATTAACGGTTTCACCATATAATAAGTGAAATCTCTCACCTCTTTCAAATGAAATCTTATAAAACTTTTTTAGTATACACCGGCCCCGTCTTAATTATATATGATTTATCTTTCTGCTGATTCCGTCTCTAATATATATATATATATATAATACATATCTATTTATGTGTTATATGTACACAAACATATGTCTGGTACAAGATTTAGGGAGAGAGGGAAATCAAATAATTGAGGGTTAAATCATTACTAATGTGTTTAAAAGGGAGATTCATGTTATAATTTAAATTATAGTTCGTGACTCGTTACAGTATTCTTTTTAAAAAAAATACACGTAAAATGAGAATAATTTTAAATTATAATTTTAAATTTATAATTTTGCATCTTTAGATTGCGGGTAAAACTGACAAATTGGAAGAAAATTGTCAGAGTGGGTTGGAAAATTGACATCTAATTTACGTCCGCAAAATTCAAGAACGTGTCGGACACTTCCACGTGATGGAGAAAATTAGTGGAACGTATTGTCTCCAGATGAGACATGAAATGTATATACGTTAATAGAATGTTTGATGGGGATATGATCTAGAAGGTTTTTGTCTCGGTTCACTTGATTGCTTAAAGTGTGTGTATATATATATATATATATATATATATATTATTATTTTGCAGTTTTACTCATGGTCAAGCCACTTGTTATATAAACAAAACTGTAAGTCTAATTAAGTCCGAGATTTGAAAAAGGATTAGCTTATTAGGTCTACGTCGTTTTGCGCCAGCAATTTTTTTTTTTTTTTTAAGTCACCTGCAAAGACACCTATAGAATTTATTGTTTTTTTTTAAAGGTTTGTGCAATATTTATGGGACTATGATATTGATACGATTGATCAACAAGAAAAAATTCATTAGGAAAAAATGAATCCCAAATGTCTAATATAATAATGTGTTTTTTCTTATTAGATCTATCTATATGAATACATATATAGACATTGGATGCCAACAGCTATCATTTGCGTGCTTGGATTAACCTACATGTCAAAAGAAGAATTAAAACCGAAAGCGAAAAAAAGAAAAAAAAATACAGAAGCACATAGAGAAGATTGAGAGGAAAATAATACGAAAGAGAACCAAACAATCAGCTTCAGTGAAGCTGTATTTCGAAAGATAAGACAAAAATACCCAAACAAAAATCAAAACAAAAATAAGTAACTAAGAATAAAACGGTAAAAATATAAATTTGGGACATAACCATAATTTTTTTAAAGAAGAGGGAGAAGAAGGACTGGGCACTGTTATAAGAACAGTAACCCAGATGTCTCCTTTAGTAGTATGTATAATGTGTATTTATAAATTTATTGTAATTGATTAATAATAAGTAAAACTGTAAAAAAAAAATAAGGAAAATTTTGTTAGCTATTTTTGTTCAAATTTTATAGGCCTCATTCAGTTCGCCGATTCGAATTTTTAATTCGAATTTAAATGTAACTTTATGTGAGAGTTTTTAACTGTAGTAGAAAAATTTAAATGTGATTTTTTATGAGAGTTTTTAACTATAGTAAAACTGAAATTAAAAACTTAAATCGGTAAAATAAAAAAAAAACCATAGTATCTACGCAAAAAATATTTTCCAACTTCGTCAATGGGATGGGGAAAGTTCCTGATCCACATACCGCGGATAATTTTGTTTTTCATTTTCCAGTCCAATTCTACATGACAGTAAATTTATTAGTCCATAATACTCAACGACGCCGTTTGTCTCAACAGGTTCTCTTGGGCAGAAAAACGACTTGATGCCCTCATCCTCCCAGGTGTGTTTCTATATTTTTAATAGCCTTTTAATTAATTAATTCTTTTTTTACTCTTTTTTTTTTTTTGGTAAATACTTGCTTCAATACTTTTTTTTTACTCGTCTAATTAATTAAATGCGTGGATAATTAATGCAGGTGTCCAGATGGTTTTCTTCGTCCTTATCGTCGTTGAAGCAATCGGAGTGCTGATGACATTCAAGCCATTTCTAACAACGGCATGAATTGATTGACGATATTTTTGTTTTCGTTTTTTTAAGGGTAAAATTGATTGATGAAATTAATATCATTTCATGTACGCGGTTAATTTCATGCAAAGGTTGAAGGAAATCATTACAAAATATGTCCAATCAATACATCTTCAGTAGTAGATTCATAACGAACGAAGGATTTTTTTTTTTTTTTAATAATCATAATGAAGAATAATTGATAAGTTAGGCCTTGAAATTTGCATAGTGACATATTAATTTTATAACATAACATTCTTAATTGCATAGTGACATATTAATATTAATTGCATAGTGCATAGTGCATAGTGACATAATGAGTCTTCAATTTTAATTTTAACATATTAGTCTTTAAACATTCTTTTTTTAACAGCTATAGTCTCTGACACTAAAATTGATAATTTTTATAACATAACAAAAATACATAATAACTTAAAATTTTACAAAAGAGTTACGTTAATTATATGCAAGATTTTCTTCCTCCTTTTTTTTTTTTTTTTTAAATACTATCAAAACCCTTTGAAAACTATATGGCTTAGTTTCATAAACTAATTGAAAAAGTGGTGGTTTATTTTTTTTAGTTGAAATGAAAAGTCTGAAAAATGCATTTAAAATTACAGTTTGAAATGACATTTACACGAGTAGTTGATCATGGGTTTGAAAAAAGGAAAAGTTCTGGAAATTTGTTTTGTTGTATATTGAAAAGATGGTTGGAATAGAGAAAAGATGGCTCCAACTACAAAAGGGCTACCATTATTACCATACATTATCATAGTCAAATATTTGAAGAAAGAAAAAGCTTAAACAAATTTCCATATGAATCTACATATATATATGCATGTTCGTTTCTTCAACTTGAGTGCCAAGTCAGCGAGTGCTTTTGTGGATGAACCATGTTCTCCAACCACTCTCTGAACAGCATTCTTAACCTCTTCCA